GCTACGTGTACCATCCATGCGCGCCTCGATACTACTACGAATTTTCACGTTTACTCTTACTGAAATCAACGTAGCTCTGTTGTTTTTGCACAGATTTCTTTAAACTTGGTGTTGTTGTACTACTTGTTAGTTTTTCTAACCATAAATAGTTTGTAACATGCCCTAAACAAGCGCAATATTTCCGATATTTCATTTTAAAGTATTTTTAAATTTTATTGTTTGCAATAAATGTTGATTAGCTTCTAAAGTATAAGAGATAGAAGAAAGGTTGTAATAACCTTTTTAAAAGACAATACATTTAGGCGTAGATAGACGCTTAATTCACCTTTCTATCATTAACCGTTTGTGAGTTAGACGCGGAAACGTAAGCTGATGACCCACGCAACTTCCCCCCCTCCCCCCCGAGTTGTGACCACCCTAGAAATGCGACATCATCGATTTTTTTCATCTACTAGATGTCCCCAACAATAATCAAAAGTCAAATTTTGTCAGACTTTCAGTGCATACTCAACCCGTTTAGCGCCTGGACTAACTAAGCTATCAACATTACGATTAAAAAACACACCTCAATACCTTCCCTGTAGCCGTAAACCTAAGTACTCATTTAAATTCAGGTTATTTTTAAATAGGAAGTAATTCTGACAATTTTAAGGGAACATTTTCGTAGAATCTATAGCCAGGTAAATAGAAATTTGCTTAGTCTGCAGGTTTGCTGCGACAGGGTGTTTATTTATGTTTCAAGGATAAAAAAAAATAAAAACCATTCTTGACATAAATTGAAACTTTAGGGCGCTTGCAAGAAATTCATAAATGTTAGCCTAGCCTGAACGGTTATAGAGTTACAAAAGGTTTCAAATGGACATTATTAGAATATTTTTAATGCTTACAGTCTCGGGACAGCTAAATATAATAAAATAGTATAAATAGAGCTACAAAACTTGGAACATAGTCACTGGGCTCCATAATTGATCAATTGATATTAAAATAATTTAAAAAAACATTACAGTAATCAGTGACACGCTACCTCCTCGGGGAACGCTAGGAGTCAGACGAAAATGTCGAAAATCTTTCTCAGACTCAGGTACGCATAGTAGTCCAGTCAATGAAAACAATAAAACACCCTTTTTCACAACTAAATGGTGGAAAGCTGGATTTTGTATATGTGATAGAACCACATGAGTGGTCATTATTTATTTATTATTTATAATTGGTTTATCTACAACTTTTGTACTAAAGGTTTTCTTTTAAAATTATTTTCAAAGAGATATAACATTTTAACTTTGATAATGGTTATGTTTTAAGCACACAATTTTGTTTGACACTATATATTTTTTACAAATCAAATACGCAAAATGTACAAAATCAAATCTACAAAAGTTGTAGATAAACTAATTATAAATAATACAAATCAAAATACAATACGATAGCATGTGTAGAATTTGAATTATATCCAGTAAAGTGAACTACTGCAATTTTACTGGACTTTTGGGAAAATACACCTCTCATGTGGTTCTATCACATATACATAATCCAGCTTTCCACCATTTAGTTACGATAAAACATCTATATTGACTGGGCTATAGGTTGATATGCAATTCAAATCAAATGGCGGAATATGTAAAACCGAACTCAAACGGACCACTGAGTCGAAAATGGGAGCCGTTCAATCACAACTCTCTGAGACTGAGTGAGTACTTTTATTTTTTTTTTTTTATTTTATTTTATTTCCAACGGCAGCAGCCAATTTACAAAGATATGAGCCAATTTATAAAGTACTGACTACTGATTGAGTGAGTCAGTGAGAAGAAGATAACTTTTACTATGAATGAGTGAGTGAGATGAGGATGAGAACTGTGAGAGTGAGAGAACGCCAGACAGAACCACTGAGCTATACGAACTGAACTGAGTGAACGAACACAGAGGGAAACAGAATCTGCTCCTGAGGAGACCTTGCCGTCAGACCGTCACCGCCCTTTTTTTCGTCTGTCGTCTGTCTAGAAACGGGACGGGACAGCGGAATTTGAAATCGGAACAACGCTTCCCCCACTACTGCGCTGTGCCGAACGCTTCCGAATCTTACCGAGCAGTGCCGAACTTAAACGTCAAATTCAATGCGTGGTCGCGTGGTGTACTTAATCGTTTTGGCTTGTCTTGTCAACAATGCATGTATGCCAGTGCTCAGTTTTGTGATAAGAGTTTTGTTAATCGGTGGGTTTTGTCTCGACACCTTCGTGAAATACACGAATTCATTGAGGGGGAAAAGTATAAGTATAAGTAAAAAATAAGTACTCATACTGTGAGTACTTATTTAGGCTACCTACGGTACAAAACCAATGATAGATTTTAAGGTACAATAAAAGAACGTGTTAAATGGTTTGCACTGTAAACAAAAAAACTATCACAACAGTTACAAACCGAAAAATAGAAACAAATAGGAAAATTGAAATAAATATGAAGAATAGGGTAATTTTTTTAACATATTTTATCGAAATTATAATCAGGTAAATGGAAATTCACTAAGTCTATAAATTTGCTGCGGAAGGGGGGTTATATTGCTGTTTACACAAAAATAAAAATAAACCTCATAAAACTCAGGATAATGGCTTGGCAATGATTATAGAATCTTAATTATTTCCTATATCCATGAATGATTTCTTTTACAACGAATTATTGCCTGTAAAATATTATTACAGCATTTCACAAATATTAGAACAGACTCAGTATAATAGATCATAAACATAAACAAATGGTGTAACTGATGAAATTATATTAACATATTGTTTGACAGCTCCATTTAAGTAATGTTAAATAATGTTTACATTCTAGCTAGTGACATCATTATTTTAAATTTATAATCCTTACCCTCTCTGTTTTAATATTCGTGCAGTATTTAATATGTTTGAACCAGCTGTGTGGAGTGGAATTGTGAAATCAAAACTCATTTGACAGTTAGTTCTGCTTGTTTATATTTTTAAACTTTGTAGGTTTGTTCTTTGTTACCATGGATATACCATCAATCAATATTTACTTTTAAATCTCTCACCTCAAATTTTTGAAAGCCCACTGGGCAGAGCCCTAGGACAATATCGAAGCGGGAATAGTTCTATATGTATCCTCGGAACTGTAGCTTCATGTGTGTGCAATTTGAGCCCAGTCGGTTCAGTAGTTTTTGCGTTATTGAGTAGCAGACAGACACACAAACACACACCATCTCATTTTTATATATTAGTATAGATAATACATTTTAATAATTTTTCCCCCAATTTTAATTTAATTTATATAAATGTCATCATATTTACTTATCGTTTAATTTAAAACAGATTGTAAATAAAACTTTGCAAAAAAATATATTTAATAATTTGTAATCATTAGGTAATAATCAACCATCAATTATAAATTAAATGAAATTGTAACAGCTGACACATTCTTATTTTCTAAGTTAAAGTTCTTGTTCTTCACATTTTTTTACTTGCCTTGAATTTTCATAATTTGAGTATTTACTTGAACAGAAGTGAATAAGCATGAGTATTTACTTGTACTTCTAAAAAAGCCTTTCCAAGGAAGTATATACCCTCATAAACCTATAAATTTGGTGTGAATAACCACCAGCAAATACTTGCCTAAAGAGTAAATACTTGTTTTTCAACTAGTTATCAATAACCCATGCTTGTTTAAATTTACTTGTTGATAAATGCATGTAACACATTCAGTATAGTGTAATACACTTATTTAAATTATGTGTGACTCTAGTAATTTCCGCAAAATAATGCTTGGGTAATTGAAGATGGAACCTTTGTGGTATTCCTTCGTTATGTTCAAGCTATTTTGTTAATGAAAATCCATCCACAAGTCTCAATAATGCAAAACCTTCACATTTTACATGTTTAAATGAAGGCCTTAGACCTTCAACAATATATATATTTATCTATATTTATTTATTTAATATATATATATACTTGTACTGTATAACGTTTACTTTAAATGGAGTACATACTTGCAAGTATACCCTCATCTCCGATAGATCAGTGAGTATACCATCTCATTTAGGAAGTATTTACTTGCAAGTAAAGAGTCGCTTTTATTCACAAGAGATTACTTGAACGACGAATACTCGCAAGTATTTACTCACAAGTAAATACTTGCTGTACTTTTATTCACTCGGCCCAGTGGTATGCTAGTGAAATCTTTTACTGAAATAAAAGTTTTTGAACTTGAACACACACACTGACATCCCAGATATTTTCACAGAGATACTGGTACCTACAAACATAAACGTAGACCCATGCTGAGTAACTTGTGACACTGACAAACAAACAAAATAAACAAGTAGGCCTATAGAAAATTCACAATAAGATATTTCTCATTTAAAATAGCCAAATTTTTGTGTTCATTTTGTTGTTACAGTTTCCAAGATGAAGAAAATATGTTGTAAATATTATTTGTGTGTGTGAGTGTGTATCAATATATGTGTTAAATTGTTACATTTTAAGAAAAATTTATTTTGAAGACCAGGAATTTTAACACGAGGTATGTTACTAGTTTTAAAATGTTCACAGCTGAAAATAGGCCTACCTGTTAGCTATAATTTAGAACGACATGGAATTAAACTTTTTCTTTCTATACTTTTGTTATTTAAACAGTGTAAACAACAATTAATAATAGTTAGGATTTTTATGTAATTCATCTTTATTTGGACTTATATAGTTTTTTGTAATTTTTTATAATTATTCTAGAAATAATTTTCAATTAACATATTTAGACTTATATTTAACATTAAACGGCTACTGTACTTTGTTCCCGCGTAATTTTAAACAGGCTCGGTGATGACAGAAACCCGCGATCAGATGTTCAGTTCGGATTTCAATTCCGCTGTCCCGTTTCTAGACAGACGAAGGTGGGCGGTGACGGTCTGACGGCAAGGTCTCGTCTGCTCCTGCTCCTGCTGGCGCTGGCTGACTCGGCTCGAGTCGAGTCTGTCTCTGTCTGTCTGTCTGTACTACAGTACACGGTCACGCACGGTGTGTCGTTTATGATTCTGGTTTCCTTCCTAGGCTGTGGCTGTGACTTTATTATTGTTGGTAGTTGTCAGACTAGAAATATGTGGGAGTGGCAAACCTAAGTGTCGGTGTTGTCTACAATGAGTATCAAAAGTTTAACTAGTTGTTTGTTCTTAGTTTTAACTCATACAAGTGTAGTTTTATGTTTTAATTTAGAAACTAGGTTGCCTGTGATAAAACGAGGAACAGAAGGTTCGTATTTCGGCTATTCCGTCGCTGAGCACCAGTCTATAAATGAAGAAAAACGACAAGTAGAACACAGTTGGTAAGTTAAATTTATTTGCTTAGTATTGGCTTGTTTTCATAGTGGCTCTACAGTGTTACTAGGCTTTAATGTAGGTGTTGTAAAACTAGCCCAAATATCCGGTTTTGGCAATCTAAGCTCAACCTAAGAGTTATGTTGACACTAGGCCACCCTGTAGCATGTTGAGGCTGCACTTTAGTTTACGTCCTACACTCATTCGAATGAAAAATATCAATAAGTAGGTAACTTAGGCCTATATAGATTATTCGATAGGCTAACTTATAAGTTATCGATTATTTAATTCGCGTAAGTTTAGTTAGGCCTACAGTTAGGTTAACTTAACCTAACTAACCAAAATTTAGGTTACCGATTAGGCAAATATTTACTGTATTTACATTGGGATATGATGTAATTTTTATATGTCTACTATCTGTATTTTTAACGCTGAATCCAAAAATGCAATCAGTTTTTGTCGGAGAGATTCCCAAGTGGCTGTAAAACGAAGGTTAGGATTACGAATCTAAGGATAATTGAGCGGTACTGAAGGTAATGGTAATATGGCGTGGTCTGGACGGGTCCGTACTGAGTGAGAAGAGCAAACAACTGTTTATACTTGATCTAGCGGAATGAAATCAAATCAATTCATTTTGAAACCAAATAAGTGTAAGTTAATCAGTTCTTATTTAGGCATGTGAGGAAGGTAGGTCGGGTTTTATGCGAATTCGTGACTGTATTAAGTGTTTTGAAGTGAGGTTAGATTAGGAAGGTAAAGGTTAGGTTATAATGAACCGACTCATTAATTTATGCAACTTCCAGACTGTTTTTGCACAATTAAATAGTGGGTGAAACACAATGAAATAACGATATCAAAAATGTGCAAGCTTAGAGAGACAATTTATTATTAAAGATTAGGCTATAGGCTATTTAAACTTAATGAAATACTGAAAAACTTGAATGGTAATCGATAGGCCTATATCAAAAATTACGTTAACTAAATTGCAGTCTGTTAACTTACTCTGGACCAGTCCCAGTAAATTCGTTATTAAACCTATTTTGGTTTTGTTCCACGGTTTAAGTTACCTTATGATTTTTCTGGGTACATAGGCCTAAGTTAGTATGCCTAATTTTCAATGCACCTAACCTAGGCCTAGTTATAATAGCAGATATCTGTTTTTCAATCTACCGGTACCTAGTTAAAAACTGGCTGGGTAACTTAGCTTTGTGCTCATCTCTAGTTAACCTTAGTGCTTGCCTAACAATCTTAAGGTTGCCGGATCGATCCTGAGAAAAGTCAGTTGCTTTTGATGGGTTTGAAATAGGTACTGAGCTAGAAATATAACTGAAGGCTTGGTGTAAGTCTCAGTTACGTCAACTCTAATGTAGGCCTATTTGAATTGTATTAATGTATTGTTTGTAAAATGGTGTTTGCCGTTGAAAATAATTAAATAAATAAACTCTGCTAGTACAGTAAGTAAGATAAGACACTGTAAGTTAAAAATTTAGAGGAATCGGTAAATCTGAACATTCTGGACTTTTCTTTTAAACCTTCTTAAACCATTCCTACGACTAATACACCTTTAAAACATTTTTCGAGGTTTGGAAACTACTACAAATTACAAAAATATACGGAACTACTTTTCAAGGCGTGGATCAAATCGCACGCCTATGAACAAGGAGCAGAGTGATACGGACCGGTGGTTACTAGCTGATCATTAATTTCTTATCATTGTTTTTGTTTATGTTATTTTTTTATTATAAAAATGAAACTATTTGAAACTAACAATACCCTCGCCGTGCAGCAAACCTGTCGACAAAGCGAATTTCCATTTGTCTGAATTGATTTTCAATTAAATCTAGCCTATTTAAATAACATTAGGTTTAACGAGTACCTAGGTTTGCTGCTACAAGGAAACTAATAAAAATTTTTTTGTTAAAATATTAATAGCTTAGTATAAAATAAATAAATTTGCCAAGTTTGATCATAATATACATCCATAAAGAGGCAAACTACAACAGTTTACAATATTCCCCATAATAATTTTAAATTTACAATTTTTTTAATTTTCTCCGTTACCAATAATTGTACAATAACACTTTGATAGGCTATAGCTACTAAATTATTTGTTTTTTTAAGCACTTTAAAAAGGTCTAGAGAGAAATTGGGAAATCTTTTTTTGAGGGGACCAAAAATGAGAAAAACCAATTTTTACCCCATAAAACCCCCAGTAAAAACCCTGTTCCCATGGTCTGATCATGCTGGTTCGCGAACTCATTTAAGTTTATCCCGCCTTACACCTTTAAACTAAATGTCATCAAAATCGAACAAAAACTAGCCTACTCCGAAAGTTATCGCATTCACGGATGTAGCCTACATATATAAATTTAAATATGTATATATAGGCAGGCCTATATATATACATATACAAAAATTTGAACTAATGGTGTTTTTGGCCTCTGGGGACATCAAAATTAAAAAGTAACTTAAATCGGTCCCGGGTTTAGGTTTTACCGTGCCACCTACGGTGGGAGATTCGCTAGAACCTAACCAAACTCGCTGTATGATTTGATGAATCGGTTTCATAAGAGAAAAGGCATAAATAGGGAAGTCAGGCCCGAGGTTTATGGGGATTCATGACTTTTAATACTTTTTTTAATACTTTTTCTTTGAAATGGCGACCATTCAAAGGTAGATTGTAAGCCAAGTATGAATGGAGTGTAGGATGAGTAGCGTGATCTTGTAGTCTTTTTAGTGACTAAAACCGACATAGGCTATTTCTTACAGCTGTTAATTACTAGCCCATACAGCTAATGGCAACTAAGAGACCTAGACAGTTTTTATAGCTGGAATCCGAACCACATTTTTGCCTTGATATTAACGAATTGGTTTAATTATCGGGATAGCACTGCACATAGTCGTAGTACTCACTAGTGCGGACGTTACTATCCACTATTCGTAACCTCCAAGTAGCGGGATTACTGGACGACGCCACCGTCCCAGTCTACATTAAGTCCTTTGAAGGTAGGTTAGAACATAGACAAAAAGAATTAAATATAGACAGTCAGCTGTGCTGCATTTACCATAGGTTCTGGCACACACCGCTAGGAGCGCCATGTAGTTACGGCATACGTGCTACGTAACTACACGGCGCTCCCTGCGGTGTGCGCTAGAACTTATGGTAAACCACTGCACGGCTGACAGTCTTTATTTAATTCTTTTTGTCTATCGTTAGATCAAGTAACCTAAGTTAAAGTGTAGGTTATAGGCGATCAGGTTGTTTATTGATGAAAGTATTGATGTGCAAGCATTTTTGAAATTTTCTTATCATTTAATCAACTATTCCAAAATATAAAAACAACATGGGTGTAACATCAATAAACAACCTGATCGCCTATAACCTACACTTTACCTTCTTAATCTAACCTAACTTCAAAACACTCATCTTAAGCAGTTACGAACCTGCAAACCCCGACCTGCCTTCCCCATATGCCTAAATAAGTTAAGATCATTCATTGTTTCAGTTTTTTCAACCAAAGTAGACTCATATCACTTCACTTCTTATTCCCAGGTGTGTGATGTGCTCCATGCCTTAAGAAAGTAGTTCAGTATATTTCTGCAATTTTCGGTGGTTTCCGCACCTTAAGGGGAGTCCAAGTCGAAATTTTTCAATTTTTACTTTTTATAGCACAGAATTTCTTCTTTAAAATGGTAGGCCTATACTTACTTAACAACCTAGAAATGTATAAAAAAATATAAATTTCCCAAACATTGGAGTGACGTTTTAAAGGTTAACACGTTCGCTACTGCAATAGTACGAAATTTTCCATTCACATGGACCAGCGACGCACATATGCGACGGCCGGTTTCCACCCATAGACTGCCGTCGCATATATGCGACGGCTAGTCACATTAAAATAGACTGCCGACGCATATTTGCGTCGTGGTTCTAATGTTATTAAAATGCTTATATATTTGTAGTGGTCTATTTGAAGGCACTGAATTCCCTGCAGTGGTCTACAGAGATGTGTGACGCACAACTGCGTCGCTTGGTCTGTGGATATGATGATTGGTGACGTCATATAACAGTTGGAAAAACTGGCTTTTACTTTTCTGCATCACTGTATGTATGTATGCAGTACGTATGCTGCATTATCCTATGTAGCTTTTATATTTGTTCAGTTATAAACTGTTCTTGAATAATCTGTTTATTTTTTTACTTACTTTCACCTTAAAACACAAAAAAATGAACTGTCGCATATATGCGACGCTTACTCTATTTCAAGAAAACTATGATAATTTTCACTATTGTCTTCGCTGTAGACCGGGCGTCGCAAATATGCGACATTACTAAAGGTTATAAAAAATACAAAAAACAAGAATAATTTATATACAAACACGATTGTAGCGTATTACAATGTAAATGATCACTGTTTTACAGGTTTTCGCCCGTGGTCTGTGTGTACTGTTATCCAAGTGACAGCCGGTCTGTGTGTAAGATTCAAATGTATACCTCGGTCTGTGGCAATGACCGCGGCGTCGCATATATGCGACGCTCAGTAGCGAACGTGTTAAACTCGTAGACTCTTGGTAGACCCTTGGAGGCTTTTCTTACCGATTTCCGCAACTTTACTATGAAAGACTAAGTACTAACAAATGTTTCTTAGTCATATAAAATTATTAATATTATTTGAAGTTTGAAAATCGGCTTATGTCCGAAACATGTCACTACCGGTAGGCCTACTATTAAAAATATAATATTCAGGGTGCTCAGTTGTACTTTATTTACTACAATAATTTAAATTATTTTATTTATGGAAGCAAATTATTAATACTATTTCAAAATAGTTGGACAAGGAGTGCCAACTTTTTCAATTTGAAGGCTATGTAAGTTATGTTTTAACGTACGATTTTTATTACGTTGAAATCATCACGGATAAAATCAAGATAAATTGGTATGTAGCTGCAAAGTTTTATTTTAGTAGTCCTAGAAGAGTGTCTTCAGTTCTTAAATCACAAGTTCCTT